TGATCTTAAAGAAAATAAATAACCACGCTAAGACAATCTTAATCTGGATTTTCGTTATTAAATTGTGTAAGTTTCGAATATTTCTGTCGAATGATTGTTTAAATGATAGCAAAGGGAATGAAGCAATATTAAAAAATTGTAGATCTGAACAATATTTCATGATTCAACGTTATAACACAAAGATTGTGTACAATTGTTTAGAAAAACAGAACATGTAACATTTACTATAATTCGTTCTTACCTACCGTCATGAAAAACATATTAACTTATTTAATTATCAATCAACTAATAACAGTTAACATTGATGCCAATTCGTATCTCTGTCAAACCCAACATCATATACATGGCTATAACGTCCACAAACAGATCAAGTCAACGCTAATAAACCAGTTGAAACAGGAGTGGTCCTCAAAATTAAAAACGTCTAATAAATATCGCATGTACAGCTGTAACAAAGATTCTGTTAACCTTGAAAAATTACTTGTACCCGTACAAAGTTTATAAGATTGTCCTTAGTATATTTTTGCGCGGGTAACCATAGGTTTCCTGTCATTATCCCACATGAACAGCGCAAGTGCCGGTTATGCCATTTTAAAATATTGAATATTATATTTTGAAAATATAAAATAGCACTGTATATGATTTTGCCATTTGACATTATATCCATGGAACCACAAGTCCAGCATAAAATTTTAGGATACAAAGATAGTCTTCGTTATATTCATGAATCGGTCTCAATTACCCATTTTTCAATGGACCAAATTCCGCGCTACTTCGGCATTTTTGTTATATATTTATTGTTATGTACAAAATGTTGTACGCGGTAGTTCTAATAAAAGAAATAGTTCACAAGTATTATTCATGTTTTCACAATAGTAAGCTTGCATTGAAGCTCTTGACCCGGACACAATTAATCAAAAACTAATGCATTACACGTTCCTTTCTAATTTTTTTTCCCTGTAAGAAAAATATATAGATAAATATGGAGAGACATGAATGAACTCTTTGAAAATTCTTTTTGTTGATTCGTAGAAAGTGGAAAGGACTGAATGTTTCTGATTAAAATGTTTAGAATGTTTGTTTCCCTACCATCACACAAATGTGACAAAATATTATTTCTATATAAAATCTACTGCAGTGTCGTCATTACGCTTCTTGCCCTTTTAGATATTGTTTTAAATGCTGGGGTAAAAATATTGCTAATTTCGTGTGCATGTAATTACTAACAACGTAAAATAAATGTTGCATAATAATATTTCTTCATGAGATTAAATCATTGAACGGATTTCAATAATGAGTTTTTTTTTTGTCATTTATTTTTCATTTTGAACTATTAGATTCAAAAAGTTAAAGTTCGTTTGTCATCCTTCTTAAACAAAACATTTATGCAGAAATAAATAGAGGATATCCAAGTATATTGTGGTTATATAATTTCATTTAAGGTGTGTTCCGATGAGATTGAGAAAATACACGGTTAGAGGAAAGTAACGTATCTGCAAAAATGAAGACCAATTATAAATACAAAAAATAACATTTTATATAAAATGATGTATTTTGCTATTTAAGTACTTAATTATCAGTTATTAAACAAATTACATATTATGTTATAAAACTATAAAACACTTTTTTGACTTAAAACCAAATCCAGAATCAAACAGTACGACATTCATCGTCATTAAAAAGCACTGAATTAACGATAATTGGAATTGTGCATAACATGCAACTGTCTTTTGATATGCTGCCGAACCCCAGCCACCTCCCGCCAGCCAATCCATTCTGTCAATATTACTCTCAAAAGACAGTAGCATGTCTTTACATAGAAGATTTGATCACTCATCTCATAAAATAACACTAAAAATAATTAGATAAACTTTTACATGAAGCATTTTGTAAAAAGTAGACAGAGGCATGTTGTTCTTAGAAATATAAATCGGGAAACCCATGAGTCAACTTGTTTACAGCGGCCATTAATTCCGCTCAATTTCATTTCGTTTGCTCACAGACTCAACAGAATATAATAAAAGTAGATCCTTACCTTGAAACAAAATGTCAAATGCAAAGTTCACAATTTCCTACCACCTACTTTCAGTTTCAATCACTTACCTCAAGCTTCGTCAGTTTGACATCTTATTTCCTGAATTAAACAACTTCCTAAGTAATTTAACAGTCATCTAGCGAAACGTTGACGAGTAAGGTACTTTTAAAATTTACAAAGTAAGTTGAGCATATAACATATGTGCTGTCTTTACAGTATAAGGTATACATCTATCATGTTATTTGCAAAAATTATAATGACGTCACTTCAGAAGTGCTCCTATTCGTAATCAAACTAATTCGCCACTTTTCGTTTGGAACAATCACCTAGTTATGAAATAAACATGAAGAAATTAAAGGCCTAAATGCTACAATAATAAAATATCAGAATAAATAAGCAAGTGAAAATAAGGCTTTTTGTTTCTTTCATATATAATCATTCTTGGGCGGTAATGGCCTTTAAAATAATAAATGTGTTTGCCTTAAGAGATTTATTTTAAGAAAATAAATAGTGAATGAGTCAGCCAATTGCGGTAAAAGTAACTATAAATAACTCATCGCTATGGAAACAAGGTGATGACGTCACGATAAAGTACAAATATAACTGAAATATATGAGGCCAATAAGCACGATGAAAACGCGACGGTCGTTGTGATGTAGTAGTTAGCATACTGGCCATTTGTGCAATACTATCGCCGAAAATGTGTTATACATAAAAAGCAGCGTGTGGGTTCCAAGAAAAGAGCCCCCTTAAAAAAATGGCAGAGCAAAATAGATTTGCTTTTAGAGATGTGATCAGAGATTTTGAAACCTGTTATCACATACAGCTGCCAAATTGTAAATACAAAAAGCTGACAGTATATACAACGTGTGATTGATGTATGCCTTTATAAGATGAATTTATTTCTAATACAATCTATATAAACTACTGTCACAAAGTGAAAGTACGTTTGTAAAATATTGCATTATATTTTCACGCCGAACCTCATTTTTACTCTATATTCATTGCTGTGAGATTGCATCATCTTTTGTTCAATTAAGAGTTTTCGGGTGAAATTATTATTTAGAGTATTTTTATGGTTTGCATAAATTTCCTTGTCTCAATTTAAACATTTTGCCGTTTATTTCACAAAAATCCTTTCAGTAATAAGAAAGTTACATTTTTGTTTTATGAACCAGATATATGTATTATGTCTGTATTTGAAGGACGGGCCTTTATTTTACATTACTATTTTTCCCGCCGTCCCAGCTTTATTTCGTGCAAATCGATTTTTCATGTTTAGCACGATCTGTTTTCCCGCTCAGTACTCAGTAGTTTGCTATATAATGACTAAATTTTAAGTGACATATGGCAATGCACTGGACGTTATACAGGTCACTATGACGGTGACAGACAAATTATTTTTGTCATAAAATTACAGCTTGTACAAGCTTCTTATTTGAGGACACACCCGAAGATGACACGGGCCCTCCACACGTATGTCCATGGCTAAAGGGTGACGCATGCCCTTGTTCAGGATCCTATCAACTGTGCCAACACTGTAGGAAGTACAGTTACGCTTGATAAGATTTTATACAAGACGCCCGCCATTGTGACGAATTTTGTTTAACAACGCCACCACTTTATTGATACATCATGACAGAAACTTTACGGGAGAAATAGACTGAGATACGTTGATAGTGTTTGTTTGTGCAGTGACTTATCATCGTAGTTTATCATATACAATCATTTTTCATTTATTAATATTCATTTCTGTAAATAAATTTGTATATATTTTTCTGTTCTGAGTTGTTGGTTGTTTTAGATAGCAATTGTGGTCGGCCTGGTATCCCAGCGTAGTCCCTATTGTGACATTTGGTGACCTCGACGTGATTGGATACCGGTTGGCTATAGTTGTTATCTGAAACAAACCACACTCATTTTACTGCAGCTAGGTTATATAGCTAACACTAGAAACTTTGGTTTTATTTTAAGTAAAAAGTTTTATTTACAATTAAAAGTTAAATTTAGTTTACTTAAAGGTAGTTAAATTTTGTATCACTTTTAATTATTTTCTTTTTTTTATATTTCGTGTGATTATAATTTCTTAACATTTTCAGATTGATACCGTGACAAATGAAACGGACTTGTGTGTGTGACAGCTATCCAGCTGAGAGGTTATAACAGCCACACAGACCCGACAGTGGACGTTTGGACGTTTAGGGTGAGTTCGTTCCATTTTCCTCCTTTTAGGTGTCACTTTATGATGAGACCACCAGTTTTGTAATCTGAAAGTGACCTTTCGGTAAAACACCGGAAGTACACATATACACATATACACTCTGCAATTTTAGGTACTACCCGCCTTGTGTACTTTTTCTAGATAAAGAAACTGTGTCTGTTATCTAGGTGAACATTTAATTTATTGTGTCATTTACAATTTTACTTTGTGTTTACTTTGTGTCTGTAGTATATTGAAACTGGCCATATACCTTTTATATTTTTGCACTCTGGGGTAAGTGCTACGCGACATTGAGTTTTGGGTCGTAGTTTGGACTTTGAAGTTTAAAGTATTTTGAACAGTTTTAATTATAGCCTACTGTCTACTGTACACTTAAGATTATTATTATACAACCTTAGTGAGATACTTAGATGTGTTTGAAACTTAGTGTTTGTAGTGGTGAGGTATAGTGTTTAGAATATATGATACATTGTTTATTTTAGTACTGTGTACAGTGAAGGTACATTTTGATTATAGCGCTAGAGTGATAAATGCGTTTAATTATATGGTGTTACACTGAGGTGAAGTGTTATAGTGCACCGAGATTGCACTTAGTGAATATAGCGTTTTGTGTTTAAGGGTTGTAGTGTTACCCTTTAATGATACTTTGATATCATTGTTCTACCTCACGGTAAGATTTTACTTGTATCCTAAGTTGTTGTTGTAGTAGTGTTACAGTGTAGGAATATACATAGTAAGTTCAAGATGACTAGTGTAAATGAGTTGATGAAGGTAGGTCAGGAGTTAGGGTATACAGATGAGGCTTTGAGAAACTTTGTTAAAGAGGAGCAAGCAAGGGAGCGTGAAGAAAGACATAGTAGGTTAGAAGCTGAGAAGGAACGTATAGAAGCTGAGAAGGAACGTTTAGAAGCTGAGAAGGATAGGTTAGAATTAGAAGCTAGGTTAGCAAAAGAGAAGTTAGATTATGAGTTCCAGATTTCTAAGGAGAAGTTAGAAATAGAGATAGAAATGGAAAAAGAGAAGTTAAGTAATGAGGCTAGGGTTGCAAAGGAGAAGTTAGAAATAGAGATAGGAATGGAAAAAGAGAAGTTAAGTAATGAGGCTAGGGTTGCAAGGGAGAAGTTAGATTATGCTCGTCAGTTAGAAAGAGAGAAGGAGGAAGCAGAAGCTAGGAAGTTAGATACAGAATATAAGATGAAGATAGAGTTAGATATGTTAGGTAAGAAGAGTGTAGGTAAGGTTAAGGTTAAGATGACTCCATTTGACGAAAAGATTGATTCTATGGATGCGTATTTGAATGTTTATGAAACTTATGCGTCTGCTCAGAATTGGGAACATGAAATGTGGTCACTAAACTTACCGTTTTTGTTAAAAGGTACTGCTAGGGAGGTATTTGATAGGCTTCCATTAGAAGATAGGACGGATTATGATAAGCTGAAAGATGCTTTGTTAAGGCAGTTTGAGGTGACTGATGATGGGTATAAGAAGAAGTTTAGGACTGAAAGGCCCCGTGAAAATGAGACTTTTGTTATGTTCCTAGCTAGAATTTCTAGATACTTAGATGGGTGGCTAAGATTGAGTAAGGTGGAGAAGACTTATGAAAAGTTGTTAGACTTCATAGTAAGGGATCAATTTTTAGATATCTGCAATAGAGAACTATATCAGAACCTTAGTAGTAAGAAGTTGTTTTCAGCCCGTGAAGTAGCGGAAGATGCAGATTTGTTTGCCAAGACTAGAGGAGGTCCGAAGTATGTAGTGAATCATGGAATTAAAGAAAGAGTTAAGCCTTATGCACTGCCGAGTAGACCTGTAGATAGAAATCAAGGTAGTAGTTATCGTATGCAAAGAGGTAACGATAGACTGGTAAATAGAGGTAGAGCATCTCAGCAGTATGAAGGTTATAAATGCACATGTTGTGGTCGTTTAGGGCATACAGCATTTTTCTGTAGAAATAAGGCTACAAATAAAGCTAACGCAGCGGAAGACATAGAACCGAACTCAATGAATCCAAGTAAGAATGATAATAGTTATCAGGGTAATAGAAGGCGAGGAGGTTATAGAGGTAGGAATAGAGGTAGAGGAAGAAATAGAGATGCAGATTCGAAAATTTCGATGCCGAGATCAGATAGTGGTAGTAGTTTGATAGAACTTGGGGATTTTGAAGACTTGGGTACAGTTACTATAAATTCATGTCCGACAACTAGAGGTATATGTAATGGTAAAGCTATAGTTGCAATGAGAGATACTGGGTGTACATGTGTCATAGTACGAAGGAATTTGGTAAATGCAAATCAATTGTTAGGGAAGTCCAGACGATGTAAGTACATTGATGGTAGTGAGCACAGATTAGACATGGCGTTAATTGATCTGGATTGTCCGTATTACAGGGGTACTGTAGAAGTACTATGTGTAGATAATCCTACAAATGATGTAATTATCGGTAACATAGAGGGTGCTGTAGAACCAAATTTTGGTAAGTTAGCTTCAGCAGTAGAAACAAGATCGCAGAGTAAAGTTAAAGCTCATAGAAAACTTAAAGTTCCTTCACAAATTTTAGACATCACTAATGTAGAGTTTGTAGAGAAGCAGCAGGCAGATGGTACATTAGATGGATGTAGAAAGAAAGCAGAGGAAGGTACTGTTAGAAACTGTAGAGGTAAAGGGCAAGTGAAGTTTCAGGTCAGGAATAAGATGTTGTTTAGAGAGTTTACGGCAGGAAATGGTGACGTAAGTAGGCAGTTAGTAGTTCCTAAGGATCTTAGGGAGACTGTGTTAAAAGTAGCGCATGACTCGCTTTTGGCAGGACATCTTGGTATTAGGAAGACAAGTGATAGAGTCTTAGGGGAGTTTTATTGGCCAGGTGTTCTTGTAGAGGTTAGACGATATTGTCAGTCTTGTGATATTTGTCAACGTACTATTTCTAAAGGTAGAATAAGTAAGGTAACTTTAGGTAAGATGCCTTTGATTGATACTCCTTTTAAGAGAGTTGCCGTTGACATTGTTGGTCCGATCGAACCTATGACTGATAGGAAGAACCGATATATTTTGACCATGGTAGACTATGCTACCAGATATCCTGAAGCAATTGCATTGCCTAGTATAGAGACTGTAAGAGTAGCCGAAGCATTAGTTGACATGTATAGTAGATTAGGTGTTCCAGAGGAAATGCTTAAAGATTGTGGATCACAATTTACTTCACAAATTATGAATGAGGTTAGTAGGTTGCTGTCTCTTAGACAGTTAACAACTACACCGTATCATCCGATGTGTAATGGTTTAGTGGAGAAATTTAATGGTAGTTTAAAGCAGATGTTGAAACGGATGTGTAGTGAAAGACCTACAGATTGGGATAAGTATTTGAATGCTATGTTGTTTGCGTATCGGGAAGTTCCACAAGAGAGTTTAGGATTCTCGCCATTTGAATTGTTATATGGACGTAGTATAAGGGGTCCAATTACCATTTTGAGAGAGTTATGGTCAGGAAAAACAGAGAATGACGAAGTTAAGACAACTTATCAGTATGTAGTTGATTTGCAAGAAAGACTAGAAAGTACATGTAAGATAGCACAGCATGAGTTAGAGAAGAGCAGTATTAGGTATAGAAAGTATTACAACAGGAAAGCTAGAGATAGAACTTTTAAGAAGGGAAGTAAAGTACTGGTTCTTATACCTACAAAACGCAATAAGTTGTTGTTACAATGGAAAGGTCCATTTGTAGTTTCCGAGGTCGTGAACAAATTAGATTATCGGATAGACATAGGGTAACAATAAGATCAAAACTTTCCATGCCAATATGCTTAAGGAGTATGTTGAAAGAAATTTCGAACCAGAACGAGGTGCATTGGCAAAGGTAAGTGCAGCTGTTGTAGAAGCGGAAAATGGGTATGATAGATTAGAGGAAGATGATAGTTTAGAAACAAGTTACCAAGATGATAGTAACATATTGTTATGTCCATTGAAGAAAGGTTCAGAGACATATAAAGATGTTCAGGTCAATCCTGACTTACAAACAGATTGTAAGACTCAGATTGCAACCTTGTTAAAGAAATTTTCAGATGTTTTAACAGATATACCCGGAAATACGTCATTAGTTCAGCATGACATTAAGTTGACTACGTCAGAACCGGTAAGGACTAAGGGTTATCCTATTCCTTTTCACTCACAGCAGATAGTAAAGGAAGAAGTTGACAAAATGCTAGAGTTGGGAGTTATCGAACCTTCTAACGCTCCGTTTTCTAGTCCAATTGTCCTTATCAGGAAAAAGGATAACACGATTAGGTTCTGTATTGATTTTAGACAGATCAATAAATGCACGGTATTTGATGCGGAACCGATGCCCAATATGGAACAGATATTTTCGAAAATATCAAAATACAGGTATTTTTCGAAAATTGACCTTAGTAAAGGATACTGGCAAGTTCCTTTGTCTGACAATGCAAAACCTTTGACCGCATTTGAAACCCCGTCGGGACTTTTTCAATTCCGGAAAATGCCCTTTGGTTTAGTCAATGCCCCTGCAACATTCTGTAGACTGATGAGAAAGGTTTTGAAAGATTTAGATCACTCGGATAGTTTTATAGATGATATTTTGGTCTATACAGTCACATTGCCAGAGCATATCAATGCATTGTACGAGTTATTTACCCAATTAAGAGAGTCTAGGCTTACTGCTAGACCGTCCAAGTGTTTCATATGTTTTGAAAAATTGGAATGTTTAGGTCATATGATAGGAGGTAGTAAGTCCATTGAACCTGTTCTCAGTAAGGTCAAGGCAATTCAGGAGACCGAGAGACCCACGACTAAGCGAGCAGTCCGGCAATTTTTAGGGGTTGTGTCTTGGTACCGGAAGTTCATCCCTAACTTTGCCGCCATTGCTGTTCCGTTGACCGATTTGACAAAAAAGTTTCAACCAAATCGTATTGAATGGGGTGAAAGTCAGGAAAAGGCTTTTCAGACTCTTAAGGCTAGTTTGACCGGTCCGCCAATTTTGAAATTACCAGATTTAGACAAGATATTTATTCTCAGAGTTGATGCTTCTGATTGTGGATTAGGATCTGTATTACTTCAAGAACAAGGTGAGGAGAAATTTCCAGTAGCTTATGCCAGTAGAAAGTTGTTACCAAGAGAACAGAAGTATTCTGTAATAGAGAAGGAGTGCCTTGGTATTGTTTGGGCAATTTCTAAATTTCACAGATACTTGTTTGGTAAGGAATTTATTCTAGAGACAGATCACCAGCCGCTTTTGTATCTTAACAAGGCAAAGTTAAGTAACTCTAGAATAATGAGATGGTCTTTGCTTTTGCAGCCATACAGGATGAGGATTAGAGCAATCCCAGGTAGAGAGAACATAGGTGCAGATTATTTAAGCAGGGTATAATGTAGAGTGTAGTGTAGTATTTATGGTGGTTATAAATATGGTGTACAGTATTTCTACTTACATTTTTGCAATTTGTCGTTTTCACTTTGTTGTATTTAAAGAAAATTTATCAATTTTCTTATTTAAAGGGGGGCGTAAATGTCACAAAAAAGTGAAAGTACGTTTGTAAAATATTGCATTATATTTTCACGCCGAACCTCATTTTTACTCTATATTCATTGCTGTGAGATTGCATCATCTTTTGTTCAATTAAGAGTTTTCGGGTGAAATTATTATTTAGAGTATTTTTATGGTTTGCATAAATTTTCCTTGTCTCAATTTAAACATTTTGCCGTTTATTTCACAAAAATCCTTTCAGTAATAAGAAAGTTACATTTTTGTTTTATGAACCAGATATATGTATTATGTCTGTATTTGAAGGACGGGCCTTTATTTTACATTACTATTTTTCCCGCCGTCCCAGCTTTATTTCGTGCAAATCGATTTTTCATGTTTAGCACGATCTGTTTTCCCGCTCAGTACTCAGTAGTTTTGCTATATAATGACTAAATTTTAAGTGACATATGGCAATGCACTGGACGTTATACAGGTCACTATGACGGTGACAGACAAATTATTTTTTGTCATAAAATTACAGCTTGTACAAGCTTCTTATTTGAGGACACACCCGAAGATGACACGGGCCCTCCACACACGTATGTCCATGGCTAAAGGGTGACGCATGCCCTTGTTCAGGATCCTATCAACTGTGCCAACACTGTAGGAAGTACAGTTACGCTTGATAAGATTTTATACAAGACGCCCGCCATTGTGACGAATTTTGTTTAACAACGCCACCACTTTATTGATACATCATGACAGAAACTTTACGGGAGAAATAGACTGAGATACGTTGATAGTGTTTGTTTGTGCAGTGACTTATCATCGTAGTTTATCATATACAATCATTTTTCATTTATTAATATTCATTTCTGTAAATAAATTTGTATATATTTTTCTGTTCTGAGTTGTTGGTTGTTTTAGATAGCAATTGTGGTCGGCCTGGTATCCCAGCGTAGTCCCTATTGTGACAACTACAAAATTACATTATTCTTATGGTGGTAATATTTATCCCAATCTATTGTTTAGAACAATAGAGGGACCATATACGTACTTCTTTTATCTCCTATTTTCAATTTGTCACCACCATTAGAAACAGGAAGATAATTTGTTATATTAGGATTGTCTGTATCGATAACGATTAACACGATCATGTTGTTTGAATTACTAGTATCAAAGTTCATCAAACAATAATAATATAATCTATAACCTAGGGTTAGTTTTAACAAATCACGAATAGGACTTTTAAAGGCACGATTCAATAAAATAAAGTGTAGGTTAAAGAAAAACCATTTTAACTTGTACTTAAAACCTAACACCATCTTAACTTTTTAAATATAAAGAACATGTTATACAAGTTAAAGCTTTGGGATTGTTAAAACATTCCTAAGAGAACATGTTGCAGTTTTTGTGTGCGCGAAATTATGTTACTTTTTAATTTTGTCTTTATGTTGGTGCATCTAAGAAGAAAACAAGAGAAATTGTTTAATACTAATAATCGCTTTAATAAAAATGTATGGTTTATCATACCACTGCTCATAGTCTTATTATTATACATTTGATGGATGTGTTTTGTTTCTTATATTATCGTATTTCTTATATTAACTGACATAGAATTTTTTTAAAACGAGACAAAACATCAAAATACATATTGTTTACGGGGTATTTATTATTAATTAGACAAACTGTCATGTGTTCATAAATGTATTGCCAAACTTCTCAACGCCAAATGATATCTTTGATCGTTTTTTGTTTGTTTGTTGTTTTTTTGTTGTTGTTTTTTTAAACCTTGTAGCTGGAATATGATATCTAAAATATTTAAGAACTGGTTAAATTTACATTAACAAATGAATCACACAATTGATTAAATAATAAAGGTTAACTAGAAATTTTAAAATAATCAATATGATGATCACTAAAATATATTCAATTTTATTTATCCCATTTTTGCACTAAAATTCATTTAGTTAAAAAATATTAATCTATAGGTTTGAAAATTACACATTTTCAGCATAGACTTTATTATCAAGATATTTGTTGAGAATAAAGCTATCATCTTTTCTCCGTTTGAAGTGTTTTTGGTTTGTAATTGTATCACAATTTAACAACATTATATGCAGTTAAAGCTCCATCTGACACAATGTGTCCCTTGTGGTAGCAAATAATGTTTAAAACTACTCATTATCTTTCAGATAATTAGAGAAACTAAATCCAGCTAAACCATTTAGTCCGATTAAAGTAAAATTTAACGTCAAACAAATTGCAACACAAGCTTTTTTTACATTTTTAGTTTGTTATACACATCATATAAAACAGGTAAAAACCCTTAAAAAAATCTAACCATGGCAAACCAGTAAAAAAAGCAATTCAAATTTTGCATTTGTTTCGAGTTTTTATATGGCTCTGCATGTACACCATACACAGAGTTTTATACTGTAACCGGTGTCGAGGTAAACAAAAGTTATGAGGCCGCGCGATTTAAATGTATCAAAAATTACACATTTACTACTTAGAGTTGGATTTAGAACCTGTTGTACAAAGTATGTATACATTTTCATATTATATTTACTTGTTTTTACATGTTTTAGCCTCGTACATGCCCAAAATCAAATACAATGAATGAATTGTAATGGGTTTTCGCGTGTATATAAATCAGTGTTTGTCGTTTAAAAACAGTAAAGATTTTGCAGTTTTCATGAGATATAAATAATCATTAGCATATATATTAACATTCCTTTTGATAATAAGATGTTTATGAAGTAGGAAAAATAAAAATAAACAAATTTAACTTTATCCTGGGTAGCTTCAAAATGTAACTACGGAAGCGTGTTTGGGTAAATAATGCACGAAATCTAGAATAAATTGTTATTAATTTTATTATCATAAATGCATGATATTTATTAACAGATCATTAGTTTTTGGTAAAAAAATGTCATTGTGCATGATAGCTACTATGTTTTCATTTTAATAACATTTGGAAGATAAGAATTGAAAGGTAATACTGAGCGTGATACGAGTATATTATCTTTTTTTACATACTAGTGATATATCAGATTTCAGGGGAGTTAAAACAGATACAGAATTTACAATGATTATGTAATTTCAAAAAGGGAGAAAACTTATTTTACAGTCACAGTAAGCAGTTCAAATTGTTGTTGAGCTCCATGGTTTAACAAGAGACATAGATAACATGCTATCTGCGTCTTGTTTAACTAAATTGTGCTACAAATATTGACGAGGAGCTATATTCGGAGTTAACTGCTGCTTTGTCAGTGGTAATAGATCCCCA